GTGATGTAATGTGAGTTGTGTATCCGGATGCTTTCTTGATGTCTGAATTGAGTAGTGCCTTGAGGACAAGTGTTGGTATTGTTTGAGTGCTAGGCAGCTAGAGGGAGAGAATGTGTGATTTCATTGAGAAATAATAGGAGTGATTGACTTTAGTTTAAGGTTTCAGGCATGAGACGGTTGTATTAAGTGTTTTGAAGAGGCAAGAATTGAACCGAATGGTGACATAGAGTTGTTTGCCTGGTATGGGTGTTATAAGGATATTAGAGATCTTTTATGCGGGTTGACGATTGTGACGTTTGGTGCCATATTGTTTCCAGCCTGTTAGGGGTTGTGTGATTAATGTGTGATTGGGATTCTTAGAGCTAGTATGTGACTGTATGATTGTCGAGGTTATGTAGAGTGACGGATTGATTAAAGAAAGAATCTTGTGATTGTTTTGTGGACTGTATGGAGTTGTGCATGAGGTTTAGACCTGAAGACAGGAACAACATCAGTGTTGAGATCGGATCGATGATGAAAATGGCCTGGCCAACCATTTCTCCTGAGTCAGTCCATCCTTAGCACGATGTCGGGTTAAAGGTCCATGATGATTTTAGTTTGTCAGGAGCAGTGAGGGCATAGCATTGTATGTTGTGTCGGTGTAACAATGTGGACTTCGATGGTTTGTCTCGGGTGACGGGGTATGTTAGGACCAAGTGTCCGATAAAAAGGTTTATAGTAGAATCATTGATTATTAAGGATCTTGTTTTGGGGATTTGTGTCCAGAATACAGGATAGTACGTTTTATCGTTTTGACGACTTATGGTTATGTAGTTATTTGGAAATCTGTTGTTTCGTCTCCTTTAAGTTATTTGGTATGATGATTGTCATATGGTGTGGTAGTGTAGCTATGCGGTGGATAGCGAGTACTTGATCTGACAGGGACATGTAAGTTTGAGTTTGCATTTGATTGTATGATGGACGGGGTTCCCCAGTTGGGGTCTAGTGTGTCCTTTAAAGAACGAGTTGGGATAGGATAATGTCATGTTCAGGGGTCTTGTGACCATTCTTTTTTTGAGCATCGAAGTCCCGTGTAGTAGTGCAGAGTAGACCAATGTCCGTTTCGAGCCGGGTACAGCGTAGGGCGTACCAGATGGTCTGGTGTTATGATGTTGTGAGCGATGAGTACCCTTATAGGGTGGTGAGCATTGGGTTGTTTTGATAACAATGTGTGATTGCCTATTGGCATCGGGAGTCAAAGGCAACAAAGTTGTTGAGTTCTTAGTCACGAGGTTTGGTGAGGTGTTCTCGGAAGGTGTGTGGCTGTGGGTTTCCTTCTTTAAGGAGGGTAGATTTCGAGGACGAAATCTCTTTAAGGATGGTAGATTATGATGCTTTCATTTTTCATCATTTTTCTTTTTCTAGAATTTTTGTCGCCACGAGGGCATTTTAGTCCTTTGTTGTTTTGCGTACCGGACACTGCGGAGTGTGCCGGTTGTATCCAAGAGTTGATGGGACATTTCATTAAGTCCAGGACTCTTTGAAATGTAAGGGTGATCGTTTTTGCATTTTTTCCATTTTTCGGGCCGGAAGTTCCGTGTGGGACCTGTTACCGGAATTGTTGCCTGCGGGTATTTTAGTTGGGTCCATTTGCATCATGTTTATTTTATTTGATGTGTGGTATATGGTTGTGATTTAAAATGTCTATGTGTGTATATATTTGTATGTGGGGTAAAAAGAAAACAAAAGAAAAAGAGAAAAGAAATAAAAAATGGTGGGACCCACAAGATTTTTTTTAAGTGGTCTAGAGACCACTTTGGCTCTAATCTCTCATCTCTCCCGCTGCTCTCTCTCTCTTCTCCTCTCAAACTCTCTTTTTTCTTTTCTTTTTACATCACAATTTTGAATTTAGATCTCTCTCTCTATACTTAGTGTTTTTAAGTGCCGTTTGCGGCAAATTGAAGCCCACGCCGAGGTCTACGAATTGATCGGAGCAATTTGGTGTTTGGTGCACTCTAGGAGAATGGGGATGTAGGGCAAAAATTGGGGCTTTTGGCTCAAATTGAGGTAGGGGTCTCTAATCTACACAATCTTTCTCTTTAGTGAGTTAATTTTACTTGATTTATATCCTACTATGTTAGTTTGTGTTGGTTCCCTTTTAAAGTAGCTAGATTTATGTAGATGAAATATATGATTATGCGAAACAATTAAATTTGTATGTAAAACATGCTTTATTTAAATTGATTGACTTGAAAATGACATGATTGTTGTGTTAGAAAATCTATACTTATATGTGTTAATGAATTGAGGTGAAAAGCATGCTTAGATATTAATTTACATGCCTGTGATGTCTACTAATTTTTTGGAAGTTGTTATGAAAGAGAATGTTAAATTGTGTGGTGTGAATTTCTTTTATGCTCATATTGTTGGAGATAAATGTGACATGCATTTCATGGCATTGGGCATTAATAAAAAGGGCAAGTGCTTGAATGAAAATGAAAGGGGATTTTGGGAAGAAATTTGATAAAAGTGGTTTTGAGAAGACCCGGTCGCCGCGGGGGTACCAAAGGGCCGGTGTGTTAATATAGCCTAGAGGGAACTAGGGAGATTGTCCTAGCGTGGTTGAGCTAGCTGGGCCCAAAATGACACCGCGGGGGTACCAAGGGTCAGGGACACTAGCCAACCTTCTCTCATGTCGCTGTAGGGTTACCAAAGGGTGGGTTATATTAACATTTTGAAAGTGATGGATTTGAATGTTGAAAATAGGAAGCGACATCGGCACGCATTGCATTTCATAGCATCATATTGTGTATGCTGAGATTGGATGTAATGTTGTACTTTCCCAACATAGTATGACCCCGATTCCTATTGTCCTATTCCTTGTTTGGATTCACGGGGACACAAGAGGTGTGTCTTAGGCACTCCCTACTGAGCAATTTGCTCTCCCCATTCTATTTAACATTTTTCAAGGCTCGGGAAAGAAGTGGCGGATGATATTCCACCACAAGTTTGATGAAGACTTGAAATTGCATTTTGTCATCCTTTGTATATTTCCCATTCATTTGTAAAGCCCCATGTTCTAGAAAAGTGTATTTATTTTGTAAATCAAAGCCATGTAATATAATTATGATACTTGATGATTTTTTGATGTAAATTTTATAACATGTAAACACTTGTTGATGAATGGGAAGGGTAATCATATCTTAATTTATTATTGAGGTCATTTAATTGTGTATTATCATATATTGACGTCGTGAATTTGGGAAGTGGTTGCAAGACAGGTTTGATGTGAACTAAAGGGGTAGTATACACATTCAGTGACCATTACAGTGAGGTACAGGGCCCAGAGTCATGTTTCGGCTGGCTGATTTTCTCCACCAACCGACCGAAACTCCAGGTTCTGCCAACCAAATCATATCCTTCAGCCGACCGATGACCTGCACAATGAAAGTCCCAAGAGCATGTATCCTTCACCATCGTTTCGGCCGACTGACCATGTTGGTCAGTCGGCCGCCCAAAGGCTATCAGCCGGCTGACTATTCCTTTTTGACCTGTAATGTTTGACCAGCATTGTAAGCTTGTGTCCTTGAGTATTTTGAGCCCAGAATGAGTCTTATGGTGGGTTTGAACATAGGAAATGGAGTGTAGGACCTAGTTGACCTCGGGTTCGGTTAAGGACCCAGGCTAACGGTTCGGACCTACGGGTTCGGGTCGTTACACTCAAGGTTTTGACTTGCACCACCCAATTATGCCTTAAGTTCACATACTCCAACTGCAATATTGTTGATGTTCACAATCAAGAAAGTGGCCAATTGGGGGGTTGGCTTTTGGCACCAATTGTTTCTGACAGGCTGGTAGGCATATCTATTAATAGTTCAACCAGAGTCACCAGACGATTCTTTGACAATTTAGCTACGGCAACCAGCATGCTCTTCTTCATTGGTTGCCTGCACTCATTAATTTAGTTACTTGTCTGTTGTGTTGCATCAATATTGGAATTTATCAAACTATTTAGAACAATTTTCTTCATTCAATAAAATAATTATGACTACATCTCCTTCAAAAGATATATTTGTGGAACTTGCTATGGAGGTCTCCTTTCACTACTATTACCTCCCCATTCTTGTTCCATTAGAAACCATTTGCATGCTTGCCAAAATTCTGGGTTCAATTCATATTAGTTTTCTCTGTTACTTCACTTTATGAAGTTTATAGAAGACGGATTGAAAGCTAAATGGACAACTTGAGAAGGAATAAGCTTCTGACAATAATGTTGATCGTACTAATTTTAGAAAAAAAGGAAGAGGTCATTTTATTAGGAAATGGGTAGCTGAACTAGTAGTGTCTGAGATATATCCATACTGAAAGGGGGGCTCTTGATTCCAAGTCCATGGCTTTTAGATTCCAATCTACCTATATAGTAAGTATGGCCTTTTGCTGCTGCTTCTTCATTGGCGATGCAAGGTGGTAGAACACATGAGCTTATTGCCTTGTGGGTAAAATTTTTTGGAATACTGCTTTTACAACTTGAGATATTGATTCTTTTGTTCATCTATCATATCATTCATCAAATATTTGCACTGAGATACTGCTTTTACACTAGTTTAATGTGCTGTTTTGAAATTTGTTGTTTTCTATGCATATGTTGTTCCGTGTTTGGGTTTTGTGGATCTAGTTGACTATTTAGAGTACACAAATATAGAGTGTGTACCCATTCCTATCTATAGCAAGGAAGGACCTCTTAATTCTTCCTTCCATTGTTGAATGGGTCAATTTTCTGGGTGGAGTAGTGGGAGCTCTCTGTAGTTTTCTTTTTCCCATATGCTCTTTCCTCTCACTTACCTAAAGATTTTCTAGCAAATTGGAAACTTCCTCGACCCTTCTTCCAGTCTTGTATTTTACCGATAAGAGAAGACCATATAGAGATAATAACTTAAATATATACATTAATTGCCATAATTTCTGAGCTCTAACTAGTTGCTGAATTAGAATTTAAAAGTTTAGTTGAAGCTTGTCCTACTATGGGAACCCCAGAAAACGTTGATGCTGCTTATGAATCTGCCGTGAAGATCATTTTGCAATGGGATGTAAGTGGTGCCGGAAGACGAACGATCTTTGGCAGAGGAGACCGCAATGATATAAATCAGTACTTGCAAGCAGTTGATGAGATCCACCGCCGGATGGCAACCATATCTGATGACAACAGTGTGATCAAGATAGCCATGGCTCGGCTGGAGGAGAAGTTTGGCTACATCTTGACCAGGATCGGCCATAGCAATCCAAGGTATTCCACTTGTTCTAGTTCAATGAGTGATGATAGTGTTAGCTATGAATTAGTTGAAGAGGATTATTTAGACTACGATATTGTTCCATCTGAAGAAGAAATCAATGGTCTCCGGAGTATTGCTGAAAGGATGGACTCTGTTCAGTGCGTTCAGGTTTACAGGAGAGTAAGGAAGGGTGCAGTGGACGAGTGTTATCAACGTGTTGGCATCGAGAAATTGATCATTCAAGATGTCTGGAAGTTGGAGTGGCAAGTGTTGGAGGTGAAGATCAGACAATGGATTCGTGCAGCCAAATTTTGTGTTCGAATTTTCTTTCCCAAAGAGAAGCAACTCTGCCAGCAAATCTTTGGAGGTCTTGCAACAACTGTTGTAGTTGATTTCTGTTTTGCAGAAATAGTTAGAGATGGCTTAGTTCAGTTATTTGACTTTGTGGATGTCATAAGTAGTAGTAGCCGATCACCATCGGAGAGATTGTTCAAATTTTTAGATCTCCACGAGGCGTTGTCTGAAATTTTGCCTGAGCTGGACAATCTTTTTCAATCAAATTCAGCAGAACCTATTGAAATTGAGGTTGTTGAGTCACCTATCCGAATCGGGGCTATTCAGATACTTTATCCGCTCGCGGAGGCAATCAGTGGGATTCTATTGCAACTGGAGAATGATTTGTGTCATGAGTCGTTGGTGATTCCAGATGGGACTATTCACAGCTTGGCTAGGTATGTGATGGACAATATTACTCGGCTCTCTGATTACAAGTAATCTTTAACTTCATTAATTGTATCTAAGCCGTCAGCATTGGACTTATTAATAGAAGTTGAGGGGCAAAGTCCATTGGCACTCCATTTAATTTTTCTCATTGAGATTTTAGTAGGCATATTGGAAATCAAGTCCAAGCACAATGAAGATGCACATTTGTTCATGATGAAAAATGACAATTACGTTGTTGAGAAAATTAGAGATTGTCCAGAGTTGAGGATGTTGATTGGCGATGATTTTGCAAAGAACTTGATTGGAAAAATGTCGGGGGCTCGGAAGATGCTTGTAGTTCATTCAAACACCAGGAAGGTTCGTCGCATTTTGAAGCTGATGTCCGAGGCATTCAAAGAGCAGGAAGGTTCGTTGCATTTGGAAGGCACGGAATATACGAGATACTATTTTTTGCAGTTGTGATTGGGCGGGCTTCCAAGCCCTAGAGAAAAATGATTTACAAACCTACAAGTGACTTAAGTTTGCTCAATACGTTCAACATTTCTGATATTTTCTACATGAGATTATAAGACAAATTTATCAATTTATATTTGACAAACATATAATTAGATTTTTAGTATAAATTGCATTAACCTAAATTTGAAATGTATTTCACCATAATTTATATTGTATCTCGGATGTAACTGCTACATGATACACCCAACCAATGAAAGAGCCTCATTTCTCTTAATAATAGGAATGAACAATATTCATTGGCTAGGGTATTATATTATCTTTTTGTCAATGGCAAGAAACTCACACGCACTATTTATACATCCACTTTGTTATTTTACACACCCACTTTGCTATTTTAGCGACTCGAATTATCTCCATCCAATTTGAGAGATAGATGAGATATCACTAAGACACAAGGGGCTTGGTGGGGTATTATATTATCCATATATCCAATACATATTTAATATATGTATAACGTTACCGATTTTTCTAATTTTCTATTTTCTGGAATTTATTGATTTTTTTTGGATTATTTTAATCCTCGCCTCGTTTTGAGTGCCACGCGGGTACGAGGGCTGTTTTAGTAAATTCCTTGAGCCGAGGGTTTTGGAAAATTATTTTTAATCATTTTAAGTCAATTAGTAATAACGGTATCATTTTTAGAATTTTTCAGATGTCGGGACGATTTCCAGACTCGGGAACTTCTCCCGGTTTTCTCATTTTAAGTGAGGGGCATTATGGACATTTCCCTCATATATTCATAGTCATATATCTACATAATTGGGAAGATATTTTGGAGTATAGAGGAGGCATTACATTGAATGAGCAAAGGCAAGATTAAAACATCACCAAAAGTAGAAACCATTCTTTGCTCGACAAGTGGCACCATTAGGACCACTTGACCAAGTGCAAGACCAACTTTTTCCCCCTCCTCTTTCATTTTCGGCATCACCTCTTCCTCCTCTTTGTCTTCATTTTTCTCTCTATATTCCGTATCTACATCACATATATCTCACATATGTTTCAACCTTGGATTTGGGGAGATTAGAAGGTGTTTTTGGTGATGCCATAGAGAGGAAGTTGATGAGCTTGAGGAGAGTTTCCATTTGGCACCCATATTGCTAGGGTTTGGGGAATTTCAAGGCTAGGGCTTGCTAAGGCCTTGTTTGGTTTGCTATCTTGAGGTAGGGGAAGTCTAAATTACGAATTCCTATGATTTTAGTGAGATTCTATGTATTTTCTTACATGAAAATCTTGATATTGTGAAGCATACTTAGTTTGTAACTTTTTGGTTGTGATGTTAAGCATGAGATAGTGTTGCTTTAATTGTTGTGGATTAAGAATATAATGATTTCTTGTATTTGTGCCAAGCATGCTATTTTCTATTAGAAAATGTGAAAGTATGAATTATGTGACCAATGTTTGGGTGTTTGATATGATAATCATGATGTAAGTGATGACTTGTATATTGGTAAATGGTAGTATGATATGCATATTCTTGGTATGGGATGAATTGAGAGGATAAAGGTTTGATGTGGGAGAAAATGTTAGAAAGTGAGATGAAGGATGGTGTTGTAAGTTAAAGTGGTGGTTAAGAAGGTTTTAGTGAGGTTGGGTTGGAAAGGAAGAAGAGAACATTTGCATTTCATGTTTGATGGTATGGTTTGTGAATTTGTGAAATTCATGTATGATTGATATGACTCATAATCTCATGATCCCTTTTCTTTGATTTCCCTTTCTTTGGTTGTGGCTCACGAGATTTTTAAGAATGTAATTTAGGCTTTTTCTACTGAGTTATTGAGCTCACCTTATTATTATTAACATTTTTCAGGAATTCAGAGGTGAGCCGGTAAATGATATGCATCCATGGACATTGATGTAGTTAGGAATTCATTTCATGTTATTCATATTAAAACTATGTAAATTTTGGCCATGAAGGCCTCATTCCCGGTATTTAATTCTTTTGAAATTGCATAAAATGAAATTTGTGTAATTCGGACTTTAAAAGATGTATTGGACTTGTATACGATTTAAGTGAAGGCATGTGAGTTTAATTATGCTTCATACACTGTCAATTTCATGTTTGGGAACGGGATTAGACTTTAATTAGGGTCACCAAGGGACCAAAGGGGTGCCATGTGCACAAGTCTTAGTTTTAGGTTTTTCTGGGCATTTTTAAGGTTCTGGACTTCTGGAACCTGTTCAGCCCTTGTACTGTTCAAGGGTGTTTTTGGTTCGCAATGTGACATTCTGCCCAGGTGGAACCGGTACCAAGATTGGGAACCGATTCTAGCCTTCCAGTGTATATTTTTGCCTTGACAGTGTATCAGCTTTGACCGCCTAATTTTGTTTGGTAATAACTTCTTTGTTTCAAACCCAAATAGGGTCATTCTTGAGTCCATTTTGAAGGATTTTGAGTTAGCTTTCTAATGAGACCAACCGCATCTTAAAATTCCATTCATGTTGAGAGTTATGATGGTTTTAGTGGAATAGTGTCGAAATTCCCCTTGAACCAAGTAAGGGTACTTTTGGGAATTCATGATCGATGACCATAGAACCTTACCGAGTATCATGGGATGACTAGAATGATTGTTTTAAACCTCATTTGATTAATTTAAAGATGAATTATCCTCTCATATTGTAAAATGACCATTTTACCCCTATGTGTCCTCAGGTTTGGTTAAGGACTCGGTTAGCGATTTGGACCCCCGGTTTGGGTCGTTACAATATGTATTGATACATCACGTTTTTATTAAATACAACATATTTGATATGTAATTTCATAGTTTGAAAATTTTATATAGAAAAATGATATTATTGACGACTTTAATATCTCAACTTAAAACCAACGGAGATAATATATGACGTTTATTCTAAAATTTCAATTTAAATAAGTATCATTACTACTCTTATTTATTTTTATAAAATATAGTCTTTGTTTTTATTTCTGGGAGTCACATAGATCATTAGGTTTGATCATTATAGTAATGAATGCCTATCAAAGTGATATTTGAATACTAATAATCAAAGACACAATCTTTTATATATAACGGGGGAAACACAATCTAATTATATATGAGAGGTGCAATCTTAAGTATCTCAACAGTTCTTAGAAAGATGTAATGTGATATATATATATATATATATATATATATATATATAATTTGATATATATGGTGATTGAAACTTTTATCCCCAACAAATATACTATATTAAGATGAAACTTAGAAAAGAGATTACAACTTTCCAAATAATTAATTACCTTATATTTTAAAATGGGTCTCATTATATTTGACACATAGGTAGCCACATAGACTCAGTGAAATAGTAGGTTTTTATTTGTCGGGCTAAATAGCAGGACTTTTTATATAAGTAAGTATATTAAATATTCTATTAAATATATACTCCCTCTATCCCAAAATAGATGGATAATTAAGTGACGTAAGCGGAAGCGATAAATTTGTTCACGAGGAACAGGTTACCTTGAATTTGGGTGTTTTGAATCCACAAAACAAAAAGAGAATTCAGGATATATTATTTGATAATTCAATGAAAAAGTATATTCTGTACTTTGCAGTACATGTATTTATAGGAATAGAAACCTAACTCTAAAAGAAAACTAAAATAGAAAGAAACCTAATAGCAAAAGGAAAATAATTCCTTAAAGAAATTAATTAAAACTAAACTTCCTATAAAAAAATATATAAATAAAATAAATAAGAAATCTAAATAATAAAAAATTACTAAGTATGATAAAACTGTCCTACATCAGTCCCCTCCACTTCAAAAAAAACCTTGTTCTCTAGTTTAATCATATATGAGTATGAACAAATTTCGATACCATGGACAACTTGATCGATTAACAAATTTCGATCACAACTCCAAAAGACTTGGTACAGTAAAATAATTTCATTAATCTTTCTCTGTTTTGCCCGACGGCCACATCAGCGTGCGAAGGAGTTGGCTTCATAACACAACTTGGTTTCTAGCCAGTGTGTTGACACCTAATTGTTTTATTGCCTATCCAATTAACAACACTGGAAAAGGACAAGAGTTTTGTCACCATCTTTGAAGAATTCATTACATAATGTTGACCCTTATCTAGGTGCTTCAACTGCCTTTTCACATATGCCTCGATTACCACACTAGTATCATGGAATTTTGGAGCAGGATATTGACACCATGTAAATTCAACATCATCTCTCTCATCAGGTGCATGGCGGTTGTCTCCATGGCAGGGATTACAAGGAACAACAATCATGGTTGATTTTTTCCGTGTGACAACTTCGAGTGAGCTCTCGGCCTTAAGAACATTTGGATTTTCAGTGTCATCTTCTTCCACCGGATTGAGTTCCTTAATTGCATAATCTGTAACAATAAAAAGTGGAGCAACACAATTTTTTTTTTTGCTCGATCTCTATAACATCACTTGTTACTTGAACAAAATTACTTTGATCTTCCTTCTTGTTATCTATTTCTTTCTTCTCTACAAAATAATTTTTTTCGGCTTTCGATTCTTAGACACAAATAATTTTTTCTTCTTGTATAAACTTGAC